AATGCCAGAAAACGAATGCAGCCGCCTCATCTGAGGAGTCACCAGTCATGTGATATACTATATACTGGAGGTGCAATGTATTATCATTTGGGTTTAGATACACTGCAACAATGTACCCCGGGCATACAAAGTGTCACCAATGAGCCCGAGTAAGATGAGCGCTGTGCCTAGAGGTCCTCGCATCTGGCTGCGGTGCTGCTTCCATCGGTGGTGCTGCTTCTATCAGTGGTGCTGGGCTGAGACTTGGCGAGGACAGGGGAGCCCGTCTGCCTTACAATGAGAATAATGGGCAGTGAGAGGCAACCAGCCCACTTGTCTTCATCATCTAGACTCGGCCCGGGTTCAATGATCCGAGCAGCACCAGACAACACCAGACCAGAACCATGAGGGTGCAGCCAGGGCCGGATTTCCCACAAGGCCAACCAAGGCCCGGCCTCGGGGCAGCAGGGAGTAGAGGGGCGGCAGGGAGTAGAGGGGCGGCAGGGAGTAGAGGGGCGGCAGGGAGTAGAAGGGCGGCAGGGAGTAGAAGGGCGGCAGGGAGTAGAGGGGCAGCAGGGAGTAGAGGGGCAGCTGTGTGGAGTTCCTATCTCCTGATGCCCGGGGCATGCAGTTCCGGGCGGGTGATTGTTTTCTACATTCAGCTCCGCTTTGGGCAAGCAGAGCTACATGTACAGCGGGGAAGCCGTCGCTTGTTTTGTACAAGTGATCCCGGCGATGTTGCTGAGATCACTTGTATGCGGCCTGCAGGTCTGCCATTCTGCATGCGGGGAGGCTTTGGCGGGTAGGGGGGCGCATTGAGGAACCTGGCCTCGGGGCAGCAGAGAGAGTAAATCCGGCCCTGGTCAGAACCCTATCAGGAGCCTGGGGTGCATTGAGGAACCTGGCATTGGGGCAGCAGAGAGAATAAATCCGGCCCTGGCTATGTGTACGCTGAGCAGTGGGCCTCTCCTGTGTCTGTAGTGACCTCTATGACCCCTGTGCAGTCCGGAGATTTGCGCAGCCCTGCCAGGCAGCGGAAACAGATGCTGATATAACGTTTTCTCTACTGCAGGTAAGCAGCACAGTTTGGTCACCTTCCCACCCGCAAGGCTGTGATTGGACAGTAACGGAGCAGCAGATTACTGATGAGGCATCCCTCTGCTCTCACCTCCTTTCAGCTCATTTCTAGTCAGCACATATGTATGTAGTACACCTGATTGGCTCCTAGTGCTGCCCCTCTCTCACCCAGTCCGAGTGCTGCTATACAGGCTGATGTCAGCACAGATTTGGGTACTTATACCAGCTGCATTTAAAAATACATTTCACAATGTTTTAATAGAAAAACAAAACGGTATTATTGGTGTACCTGGAGTTCAGGTTTACACCTCAAAAAGACGTTCTATCTGGTGGCGTCACAAGGGGGGTGTGGCCCACACCCGGGTGACACCATTGGAGGGGTGACACCAAAATGACTGGCAGTCATTTTGGTGTCACCCCCTCCTCTAAAAAGTCGGGCACTGGGTCACGGACCGAGAGCCCGACAGTGTCAGGAGAGAGGAGGGGACCAGGCGGCATACCTCATCCCGTCGGGTGAACGTCCCCTCCTTCCTCCAAGATGGCCGCCGACAGGCATTAATTATATGGCTGTGCATGTGCGATGACGTCACGGCGGGGTGTCACCCGTTCTCCGCTCCGGGTGACACCCGGCATCAGGACGCCCCTGCTTCCATCACAGCTGTAACTCAATGGGTTCTGTTTATAAAGAAGTGAATGTGACTTTCATCAAACATTCTCTGGTGGAGAATCAATCACCGTCATTTAAAAACACACAGACTTGGAAGGTTCACCTGCTGAGAATGTTTGACCCCCCCAATGTTCTATGAATGTATATGAGATATTGGCACACCGAGAAAAATTAATCTGTAGCGCCCCCTAAGGGGAGTGACTACGAAACTCCTGTGCAGCACCAACTTTCTTAAAGGAGAGCTATGAGGGGGGGGGG